TTAATTAACACGGTATCAGCGGTATAACTGTTGTCATGACAACGGCAGGATGGGTGTCATTTTGTTTCTTTTGTGATGTACATTTCTGGTGCCAAGTTTAAAGAACACTATTCCAGTATTTCTGGAGATATTCTTGATTCTGTATCAAACTGTTTAGGTGGAACTGTTTATGGCGTCGTCACTTTCCTCATTTGCATAATACAAAAATGTGAATATCTCTAAAATGAAAAAAGATATTCCAAAAAGGAAAATGCCATTCTTCTTTACTTTGAAAAGCCTTTCAAATAATCAGCAATTATTTTTTACTTCATAGGCACTTTAAGTAAAGCTGAGCACTTGATTAAGGAAATTTGGTTCAGTACACTGGGAAAATAATGACATTTAAAATACTGCACCTTTTTACATTACAAAGTTCTGAACTCAGATGAATATCTTCACCTTCGTCATCCTGTAATTCAATACAATGTAGCAATATGTTAACTAAGATGTTATTTTAAGTAAATTTTACGCTGTTTTTTAACAGTGCTAAACGTACCAGCACATGTTGACTACAAGTATTCTCGACCAGCAGCAGAAAAAATATATTCATATTTCCCAAGATCAGACTTGATTCTAGCCTTCTACATCCCCAGGGGTAGGGGTATTATTCAACATTTGAGGAAAACTTTTTCCAAATCCCCACCTTATCCCAGGGTGGGTCAGGGGTCAGGGTTTTCCTTGACTCAGTTTGAGCCTTGGCCAGGGTCATTGTGCTGTGTTCTTGGGCAAGACACTAACACTTACACTGCTGCTCTCTATAAATGGGTACTGGCAAATTTAATGCTGGGGGTAACCCTGCCATGGACTAGCATCCCATCAAGGGGCGGGGAGTAAAATTGCACCTAGATTTTCCATTCTGGCTACTAACATTTGAATTTCAGTCACCAAATTGGTATCCAGGGACCTGTTTCTCGATGGTCCCAAAAGTTTTCGTATCCAGAAAGCCATAGCAAAAATTCAAACCGTATGATTACAGTGCTGTTTTATTCACAAATTCTAAATATGAACAGAGGTTCCCTTCAAACAAGAGGTTTCAGGAGTATACAGCTCTCTGTTGTTAGACACAGATATTTAACTTCAAATGTCTTTGTGGGCCTAAAATGTTTTCAAGGCTTTCAAGAAACAGGCTCAAGAACCCTATATTTTATCTTACTTTAGTGCCGTATCATTCATTATTTTTTTGTTACAGCCATATTACTTGCCATTACGACTTCAGGAAGGTTACTTAACCTCAAATAAATACTTTAGATATTAATTCACTGCTCTCCCGCACGTGGATACCCACTGAGACCCAGGGATCAAACGAGAAAATACAGTACCACGAAAATCTTAGCCGATCACATACTGAGAAGCAGACAACAAATTTAGATTTGTGTCTAAAAATCCCAACATATCCTAAATTATTATTTGTAAGTGGCCCTTCGTTAACTGTGAAAAAATTGTGAAGGCGTTCATTATTTCACACGTGCTTAACTCGCCAGACAATCGAAACATTTAGAAAACACTACTTTACTCTTTTAGGAAAGCAACCTAAATAAAAAGAAGATTTCCTTTAATTATAAACACCGCACTGGTACTGTATTGCCCCTGAGCATGTTGCATGCCTCTAAAACTTACATAAAATTTTTGATTTCAACTTTTTACTTGTCTACTTACGCGTAAAGGACTCTTTCTTTCACACTGTTCAGAAAGTTTCTCGATTATTGAGTGAAGTTTCAACCTTAAATAAAAAGGCTCATTACGTTACAGTAAAACAAATAGTTGCGTCATTTATGCAAGGAAAAACAGTCCACTTACCCACGTTTCCTTCCAGACGCCATTTTGAGCCCTGCCTGGTTTGTACGTCAAATACGCTCACTTGAAGTGCAACCAACCGTGCAAACCTGGGTACGATAGTTTTCCAACATGGCGGAGTGTTTGGCATGGTGAAAGGAATACACATGATCATGGAAAATCACAAGGCTAAACTGTTGCACATACTGGAAGATGCATTGGTATGAGAATTCTTAGTGATTTGAAGATTGTTGCGTCAGCTGAAGCTACTGTAGACCTGTAGAACTGTGTAACTAGTTGAACTTCCGCTTTGTCTCTTTCTGCAAAAGTAGAATCTGCGCGCGGGAATTTGACGCGTAGTGGGAATCGGGAAATTAAAGAAAACGCTATACCAGTTTGCTGTGTGTAGTGAACACTCCCAATTTAAATATCCAAGTGATCGGTTGTTATTTAGAATACACTACACTTGTGTAGGTCTCGCATTTATTTGTGAAAAAGAAAATATTAGTATTATTAGACTAAGCGTAATTAAAAAATGGTACTGTTCTTATTTTCACATTTAATTTTAAAATTCCCAACGCACTTATAATAATGAACAGTAAAAAACTTAAGAATAATGAAACAACTTGGTTGTAAAAATGTAAGGTTTAGAGTGTTTTTGTTTTGTATGTGATAATTGAGTGTTTATACAGATGTACGGGTAACCTGAAAACACTGACCCCCGGTCCGCAGACCCTCACTACAGATCAGGTCCGTGGACTACCTATGGACCACTCCACAGACTACCCCTACGGACGCCCTCTATGGACTAACCCCTCAAAAATAGAATAAAATAAGAAATAAATTCTTCACTTATGGGTTGTCTGATAGACTTGGCTCGTGTCGGCGAATTTTTGAGTATTAGCGAAGCTCCGGTGGCCTGAAGGGCTGCCAAGCGAAGCCCCATACCCATATGAGAAAGAAAAGGAAACCCGTGAATGGATTTTTCATGGTTATCATGGCTAACAGTATTGCTCATGGGCGCGATGGCGAGGACGATGACGAAGACGGAGTCGCTCAACATGGTGGCCATACTTCAAATAATAGGTTGACAGGGACATGCAGACTTGGTTTACCGTGTCCTTCTTTGATATTAGACATACATGTTAAGACCAATTGACATCTGTCAAAACAAGGTATCCACTGACCAGCATCACGTGACCATATCGTGGGCTCAAGTTTAGAGCTCATCGAGGCCACATGTTTCTTGGAAGTTTACCGCTGACCAAGTGCTGTTTTTTTTTTTTTTGATTGGATCGTGAGCTCTTGTCAGGCTAACTTGTTGAAAACAGGGCCAGGTTGTTTGGAAACTGGTTAACGCTAACCCAGGACTAGAGGTTAACCGTTTTCACTGCTTTTGTTTTGTGTTAAAACTCGAAACAGAATGCCAATATACAGAAAACCTCACCACAAAGTTACAAAACTCAAATCAAAATTCTACCTTATCCTGGGTTAGCTTAATCGGGCTCTGAAGAACCCAGCCCAGGAGCTATGCTTTTAGGCTGGCCTAAATCTATATATTACACTGTGCAAATGCAATTAACACCCCCTCTCCTCTCCCTCCCCCCCCCCCCCCCCCCCAAAATTCAAATTTTATATTCAAATCTCTTTTTTGTCTTGAAAATGGTCTCAGAGACAACAAAACATTTTTATGGCTAGCTAAACTACTTATTAGGAAAATAAAAATGTTCAAGAAAAAAATGATCAGGAAGAAACA